CTCATATTGAGACTTGAAAATGTCTAAAAATGAAGATTTAAAAGAAAAGTCAAAGCCTGTGTATATTTCAGAGTGAGATAGCTACCCCTTGATATGAATGTGCCAGGTTTTAACCTAAATTTTATGAAAGCTCATTCAATGCCCTTATGAAATATACAAGTCTCAATATTGAGAATTTTGTACGATGGGCCGTAATTTTAGCCCGAAAATGTCTATAATGCAAGATTTTTTAAAAAGTCAAAGACTGTATATATTTCAGAGTGAGGTGACCACCCTTTAATATGAATGTGCCAGGTTTTAACCTAGATTTCATGAAAGCTCATTCAATGCCCTTTTGAAACATATAGGTCTCAATATTGAAAATTTTGTACGATGGACCGTAATTTTAGCCCGAAAATGTTTAAAAATGAAAATTAAAAAAAAGTGGAAAACTGTATATATTTCAGAGTGAGCCGGTTACCCTTTAATATAAATGTACCAGGTTTTAACCTAGATTTTTTGAAAGCTCATTCAATGCCCTTTTGAAACATATAAGTCTCAATATTGAGAATTTTGTACGATGGGCCGTAATTTTAGCCCGAAAATATCTATAAGTAAAGATTTTTTAAAAAGTCAAAGACTGTATATATTTCAGAGTGAGTCGGCTACCCTCTAATATGAATGTGCCAGGTTTTAACCTAGATTTTATGAAAGTTCATTCAATGCCCTTTTGAAATATATAGGTCTCAATATTGAGAATTTTGTACGATGAGCCGTAATTTTAGCCCGAAAATGTCTATAAGTAAAGATTTTTTAAAAAGTCAAACACTGTATATATTTCAGAGTGAGGTGGCCACCCTTTAATATGAATGTGCCAGGTTTTAACCTAGATTTTATGAAAGTTCATTCAATGCCCTTTTGAAACGTATAAGTCTCAATATTGAGAATTTTGTACGATGGGTCGTAATTTTAGCCCGAAAATGTCTATAATGCAAGATTTTTTAAAAAGTCAAAGACTGTATATATTTCAGAGTGCAGTGACCGCCCTTTAATATGAATGTGCCAGGTTTTAACCTAGAATTTATGTAAGCGCATTTAATACCCTTTTGAAATATATAAAACTCAATGTTGAAAATTTTGTACGATGGGCCGTAATTTTAGGCCGAAAATGTCTTTAAGTAAAGAT